CTCCTCGGCTCCGCACTGGTTTGAACTGGGACGGACTGGGACGGGCGGGGGGGGGAGGGGCCGGGGGGATCAGAGCGGCTCAAGGGAGGGGGAGGGGCCGGGGGGGAGGGGCCGGCGCTGGGCGGACGAGAAACCAGGACGGACCAGTACGGACCAGTAAAAACCAGTACGGACCAGTGTGGACCAGTACGGACCAGTAAAAACCAGTATGGACCAGTAAAAACCAGTACGGACCAGTAAAAACCAGTACAGACCAGTACGGAGGGGAATAAACCGGTATAAACCAGTATGGACCAGTAAAAACCAGTACGGACCAGTACGGACCAGTAAAAACCAGTACGGACCAGTAAAAACCAGTACAGACCAGTACGGAATAGAATAAACTGGTATAAACCAGTAAAAACCAGTACGGACCAGTACGGACCAGTAAAAACCAGTACGGACCAGTAAAAACCAGTACGGACCAGTAAAAACCAGTATGGACCAGTACGGAATAGAATAAACCGGTATAAACCAGTACAGACCAGTAAAAACCAGTACGGACCAGTATGGACCAGTAAAAACCAGTACGGACCAGTAAAAACCAGTACAGACCAGTACGGAGGGGAATAAACCGGTATAAACCAGTACAAACCAGTATGGACCAGTACGGACCAGTAAAAACCAGTACAGACCAGTACGGAGGGGAATAAACCGGTATAAACCAGTACAAACCAGTACGGAGCAGCACGGACCAGTGCGGACCAGTAAAAACCAGTATGGAATGGAATAAACCGGTAAAAACCAGTACAAACCAGTATGGACCAGTAGAAACCAGGAAAATCCAGTCCAAACCAGTATAAACCAGTCCAGAATAGTCCCTCCCAGTACAAACCAGTCCAAACCAGTTCTCTCCCAGTATAAACCAGTATAAACCAGTTCTCTCCCAGTATAAACCAGTCTAAACCAGTCCCCCAGTCTCTGCCAGTATAAACCAGTCCAAACCAGTATAAACCAGTCCAAACCAGTCCAAACCAGTATAACCAGTATAAACCAGTTCAAACAAAGGGACCCAAGAAGCTCCGGCTGGGCTCAACTCTTTATTGGGGGAGGGGAAATTGGGGGAAATTTGGGGAAATTTGGGAAAATTTTGGGATTTTTGGGGGAATTTTAGGGAAAATTTGGAGAAATTTTGGGATTTTGGGGGGGAGATTTTGGGAAAATTTGGGGTTTTGGGAAATTTTTTTGGGAAATTTTGGGATTTTTTTAGGAAGTTTTGAGGGAATTTTGGGATTTTGGTGGGGAATTTTGGGGAACGTTTGGGGGAATTTTGAGATTTTTGGGGAAATTTGGGAAAAATTTTGGATTTTGGGGAATTATGGGGAAAATTTGGAAAATCTTGGGATTTTGAAGAATTTTGGGGAAAATTTGGGAATTTTTTTAATTTTTTGAGGAATTTTGGGAAAATTTTGGGGAAATTATTGGATTTTTGGGAATTTGGGGGGAAACTTTTAGAAAATTTGGGAAAATCTGGAGGAATTTAGGGAAAATTTTGGCATTTTTGGGGAAATTTGGGAAAATTTTGGGGATTTTGGGGAATTTTGGGTCCTCCCTGCTCATCCCAGGAGGAGTCACAGCCGGGAGGGAAAAAATTCCCAAAATTTTGGGGAAAATCCCAAAAATTTGGGTGGAAAATCCCAAAATTTCCGGGGAAAGGGGCAAAAATGGGGGGAAAAA